ACATCAACCACACAGTAATCTTGTGCATGGGAAATTAAATGTCTCCTACCCCTAACCATGCAGGAGACGGGGCCTATGGTTTATTTGTTCTTATCCAAGAAGACTGGAATATCTATCCATTTTTTGATGTTAATTAGAAAGGTAGCAAATTCTCCTCAGTTATTTTAAGACCATGAGTATTGGTCCGTCCAGTACCTGTGATAAGTTTGAGTTTTCTTATTACCTGTTTGTTGGATATGTATAGATATCATGGGGAGAAGTTACATTTTAATCACTTCTAAGAGTCTAAGGGTTTTTATAAGCTTAACTGTGAACCTTTAAGTTTTCTATTGTGGAATTTCTATATGAAATAGAGGTGAAGGTTCAAGTCAAAACTTTTATGTCCTACTTTTGTTTTGTTTTGTTTTTTTTAATTTCCCCCCTACTTTTAACATCATTAGATCAGATTTTGATTACAGGTAGTACCTTCATAAAGTTAACATTCCAAATCACAATGTTTACATTTTGATTTTACATTTTACATTTTACAGGATCCAGAAACAAAAACAATATCAAAATGGACAGCTAGAGGTAGAACACTGTCAAGACTTCTTGGGTCTCTTGTCAACATGGCCATTCAGGTCCCAAACAGGACAGTCTTTCTGGATAGCAATGGGATACAACATTTACTTCCTTTCCTTCTATCACCTGTGATTGCATTTTACATCAAGAGTTTAATTTGCCTTGCATACCTTGTTGAAGAGGAAGATAATGAAGCAGTTATGACAGATGCTGGTAAGAATTACTAACAGTCTTTTTAGAAGTAATTGCTCAAAATAGAGTTGCAGTATATGTCTATAATTCTAAAGAAGGTTTAAAACATTTAAAGTGAAAACATCCTGCTGCTGGACACCTAGCAGACTTTAGGATAATATCCTTTAAATTGTCACCTGGATTAACTATTGCATTGCTAAAAAAGTGACAAAAAAAACTGAAAAACTTTATTTCGACAGGTGGTACTAATGCACTTTAAGAAGGCTTGTCACAAAAATGTATGTGTATATTTTATACTATTGTGCATGATTGAATCCTATTGTCAAATAAATTTTTTTAGAGCAATTAAATAGATTTTGTGGTCTCCACATTAATTGTCATTAATTGCTGTCCTTTATTTATCTTTCTGGCAGTTTGTAGCTTGCCCCAACTATTTGAAATAGTATGAAAGTTATCTTGATGAACTTTTTGCTGTAGAGTTATAACTTCTTTACAGTTCCACAGAAATGCAAAGAGTATGGCCACTAACCTCCCTACTTAGAGTTCTTATTAGCCCCTTTAGAGGAAGCTGTGGTTGTCCATTCTTCAGGCAAGTCATCCTTAACTCATGTCTTGTTAACATTGGTTTTCAAAACAATGATTTTGTCTCGCAGAACCAATCAAATTTATAATTCACATGTTGGATAAGGCCATCAAGTCAAGTACACGTGAATATCTGGGTTTCTCTGCCAGAGCCATAGCTGATGGTATTAGTAAACTTGCTGTGAATAAAAATAACAGTAGACAAGTAAGATAAATTTGAATTAAGAGTTTACATTTCCATAACAGTTGAAATTCAATTCTTGTTCTTCTTTGTTATCTGTTTTCTCCCACTGTGGTTTAAGACAAAGCAAGAGTTTGTAAATGTTACACAGATGTCAAAGT